AACGGGCATGACCGCCAGCCGTCACGTGCTAGCGAAGAGACACATCAAATACTGCATTGAAATTCGTGTCTGCTCAGTCTGAGGGCAAAAAAAAAAAAAAAACAAACCCACCCAAACCCACCATTCCTACTATACAGACTCATCTCCTAGATAACTTTTTGCAGGATTTTTGCTGGAACGCTGCATTCTCTTTCCCAAACCCAGTCTCCCCCCTGCCCCCAGCTCGAATTATTAAGCACTCTGCTACTTTAAGAGCAGTTCCTACTTGAAATGAGCAAATAGTTGCAGAATAAGGGTAAACTGGGATCATCAGGAATACTCTTCCACTTCCATTAATGATGGCTGGACCTATTTATTTTAGTGAAATTACAAGTACTTTTTAATGCAAAGAAACAGATGAAATGATCACATTGTACAGGCTAGCTGTTAAATCTTGTCAAGAATTGGAAATCTGTGAGGATTGGGAAGGAAAGCTCTAATCAAGAATTAATACCTGAACTGGATAGATCAGTTTAAAAGACTGGCCTCATTGCTGGGAGTAATCCTGTGAGGTAAGGCATAATTCATATTTTTAATTAGCCAATAAATTATGCATACAGAGCTTAAAGCCTAAATCAGTTAATTTGTCTTCTTTTTAAAATATCTGAATTATTCTGAATGATATACATAGCCATAAAAGTGATGATTTCAACTAAACCTGGTCAACACATTCAGTAACAGAAACTTCCTCAAAAGCCACACATCTGATTTTGATAGCAAATAAAAATGCAATAAATTTTGGGAAGAGAAATAATCTCGTTTAAATATAAAGAAGAATCTGATCATCTCAATATAGCAACGAAGAGGATTACAGCATTAATTCAGACTTTCATCCTAAGAATTAGAAGCAAGTTGAAATATTTTTACCCTAAGCCATAAAATGTAGTTAACATTCACTCTAAACTGAATGAATCCTGATGTAGCCAGGATTCTCCTGTTAGCCAAGGTAAAACCACTGCAGTGCAGGTCACAACCCTGCTAACAGCTCAGCCCCATGAAGTGACCCTACTCATCCTGTGTACGCAGTGCTAGCTAACGCACTGTCCAAGATGCGGCAAGACCACGAAGCTGCCTTTTCGAACAAGAGTACGTATTTCCTCCAGGTATTAATAGAATTTAGGATGTATTTGATGAATTGCTTCTTAAAATAGGGCAATTTATCATTTGACTTCCCAGCCTGTTTTGGGAAAATCAACTAACTGTTGCAGTGATCTCACACAATCTTACCATTTACTTTCACAGCTATTAACCCTTTTCTTAGAAAGAGTATAATCAGCCTTGCTGCTGGCTGTCAACCTCACTAACATTCAGGGTGTGTGTGTGCGTGCGTGCGTGCGTGTGTGTGTGTGAGAGAGAGAAGTACCCAAGATGTTCAACAAGGCCTCAGTCCTGGGCTTTTCCCAGATAGACCTGTCAACTTGAACAGGATGATGGAAGTGACCAAAAGAACAGGAAGAGCTAAATCTTGCAGCTGTTTCAGAGAGATTCTTCAGTTCACCGAAACTGGTTTTAAATAAAACCCTAGTAATAGAGTAGTAATATCAGTTATTATCCCTGCTTTTTTAAACTAGATTTAGCTTTGAGATTTACAATTCATTGTTTCTACACTTGCTACCTCCTCCAGCATTTTATAGAGCTACATGGAATTCAGAAATCATGCACGTACCATGCTTATTTAAGTCTTCAGTGCCACTGTTGCCCCCATGAGTTGTGCAAGACGACTTTCAGTCCTTCTCTAAGTACTAGCTATGAGTGTTAAGAGCCCGACAGTTTTTGTCCAACAACAGATAGCCAATATTCAGAGAGGACCTGGCTAGGATTTTACCTCCTTCAATCATGCAGCCAAGTGCTAAGGAGACCATTTTGTTGTTGCTGTGGTCAATCTATGAGCAAGGCAGGTCTGAAAATGAGTTTTTATTTCCATTTGTCCACTTGCAGATATGGAGACTAATGTTTTCTCAGATGGATGAAGTACAAAGAAAAGAGTGCACTGAAAGACTTCTTTATCATACGGTAGTACCAGGGGCTAACATATACTGCAGGGGAAAAACTATAGTGTGGAATTTTGTATTCTTTGGTGGTAACAATTCAAAGGGGTGTCTTCAGTCTATCTCTAGTAAAATTTAAGGAAGAAACACCCTTCCCTTACAAGTAACTTTTAGAGATGCACCTCGAGGTTATTATGGTAGTGAAGAGTTAATTCAAGGGCCTTTTCAGAATCTAGATAAAAGCTAATTATTTGCTGTTAAACTTTTCAGAACTAAAGAGCATCACGTAGCACAGAAAAGCAAATGTAACACTGAAAAATATGTTCTTATTCCTGGCCCTTTTAAGGGAAAAATTCAGGTATGGTACTATACTGTGACTGATAAAGCGCATTTGCTTTTTGAAACCAAAGATTTTATTAAATTAACGTGATAAAAGTACGTAAGTGTTTGCGGACTTTAAGACGATTCACATAGGCGTTTTGGGTGAGGAAACCATATTCCAAACTACAGGGAAGGTACTCCAGGGCAAAGTCCCATTTCCTTTATTTGTCTTACCGAGTGTTCACCTGCAAAGAATTAAAAACAAACAAACAAAAACAAAAACCATTACTTCTAAATCTCTATTTAAATGACTAGAAAATGTAGGATTTTTTAACTTCTTACTTTAAGGTACTGTATTTATATTATTAAAAGCAATCTGACTTAGTTTTAATTACCGTTCTACAATTTAATTATCATAAGCAGTTGCTAGAAGACTGAAGGGTCAAGTAGCATTTAAACTGAGAATACAGAATGAAACATTTTGAAATACAGCAAGTTCGATAACAGTAATTTTTCTAGTGCTTGTGTAAACAGCAGGACATAAGCAGAATGTGCTGCAAACATTACTCACCACATCGTCAATCTTAAGAATACTGCGCACAGTTTCTGTTGCGAGAGTCAGTGCACTCACGGACACTAGCAGTGGCTGGACTACCAACTCCTCCAAGATGTTGGAGATCCCACCCTGGAAGAACGAGTAGCTTGCTTAGTGAACGTGAGATAACTTGTTAAAGCTAACTGTAACCTTTTAACAGAACCTTGGAAAGGACGTTCAACTTCAATCATCAAATAGCTATTCTGTTCTCTGGAACAGGAATATTACGGCATAGGTCTTCTCCCTCTGAGTATTTGACGAATCCACTCAAAATTAGCCAAGAGAACGACAAACATAGCGGTGCTAGCTTAAACCCAGCGAAAATATACAAGCAAGTAGCTAGCCTGCCGCGCTGCTAACAACGCGTTCAAGATGAACGCAAAACGAACAAAAAAACCCTGCTTTATCTAACTTTATTCTTTAGGGAATGCATTCTAAACTCATTTAAGAATAAATTACTTAAGGAGCTGTTATCAGGTTCTGACAGCTGTAAAGATTTAGAAGTCTAAATTTCAAAAGTAATCCTTCTTACTCTATTCACCCTATGCCACTGCACCTATTTAAAAGCGGGTATTTTTAGGCTGCAATTCCAGCACTATTTGTTCTTACACCTGTGGACAAACTCCATGCTTTACAATGAATATATTTCACAAAACTGTTCTTCGTGAGTGAAGACAATCAGTTATCCCCCTCATACACCACAACTAAGTTTCTCAAAGACTCTTTTGGGACAGCCAAAACTGTTTCTTTCCACGTGCCAGATAAATCCCTGGAAGGGTGATGTTAATGTCACAATCTGCAAGTGCTCAACTGGAGAGTAGTACTTGTTTCTTTCTACAGGGGAAAGGGTCTCTAAAGCTGGTTATTTTTTCAAGGGCTAATCTCATCATATAAGCACTGTAGATAATACTGACAAAATATTCCACCTAGATCTGTTTTCTAGAAGTTGACTGCAGGAGACTTCTGTTCTAATAATGGTTCTGAAGCAACAAACGACAAGTGTCTTGTTCTAGGTGCATGGCATTTAAGTATCTGCTATTATCAATACCCAAGATGGTTCTTAACGCCTGAAAGAGCAAGCTATGATCTATCCCAACACTATAATCTTAGGGAGAATACAGCCATGAGACAAATTTGGCATTTCCTTATTTCAGCCCTAATGCTTAGCATTTTCCCTTTAAGATACCCAATGTATTCTCTAAAAAACTATGCTGTGCATGTATGATTCCTTATTACCTTTCTGACATTAATGCCAGCTGTCTTCTCTCCTTGAGCATGTCTGTTTCTCAGCTCTGTAACCGTTGAAATAGGATTGAGGCCTGCATTTTCAGCCAGTGTAGATGGTATGACTTCCAGTGCGTCCCCATACGCACGGACACAGTACGAGTCCATACCGCTCAAAGTGCGAGCATACTCATTCAAGCGCAGTGCTAACTCTATCTCCGGTGCTCCACCTCCTGCAATTAAAGCTCTGAGAACAGAGAAGAAAGGAAGGAAGGAGGGACGGGGGGGGGGAAGGAAAAAAAAAAAAATCAAATCTCATTTTAAGTGTATAAATGGTTAGCTTTCTGTATTATTAGTATGCTAAGTCACTATCTGACAAAACTAAGATGTTACCTTTTCTTAACTAAGCATCTTATGACACACAGGGCATCATGAATTGAACGCTCAGCTTCTTCTAGAACAAGTTTGTTGGATCCACGTACCACAATCGTTACAGTTTTTCCAGGGTTTGTACAGCCTGTAATCTAAAAGAAAGCCAAATAACTGGACTAAAAAAATAATTCTGGACAAAGACTTCAGTGGATTATCTTCAACTTCTTAAACAGTACTGAGGTTTGCTACGCAAACCCACTAAGCTTGCAAAGTCAGTGGCTAGCTAGGGATTAGAAGCACGTGCTTTACTGTTTGTTATTACTAAAAGTTATTACGCTTAAGTTAGTAGTTTAATATTAAGTAACTGGCAAACATTAAAAAAGCATTACTTGTCATTCGCTCACCTTTATTAGCTTCCCAGAACTGTTCAAGTTAACCTCTTCTGCCAGCTCAGCAGACCCCAGCATATCAGGAGTAAACTGGTCTATATGAGCAACAGGCTTAGTTCCAATTGTCTGGAGGAGGGGGGGAAAACAAAACAAACAGATTCCGAACTGCAGATTCAGCAAACATACTGCCTAATGTACTTCTGTATATTACACTAAAACGCAGGTAGGCTATGGCTTTTACATCCAGTTCTAATCTTTCCTACAAACTTGACTGCTCAACAGAACAAGAATATCTTTCACGGAAATGTCTCGTCCCCTCTTACATTACATTCAGAACATTGCACAGCTGGATTGAAACCTGTGAACATGTCATAACAAACTGGCATTGGCTGGGTACTTAGTTTAAACCTGGCTGTTACTCAAGCAGCAACTTCTATAACTCACTTTACCTTACATATAAATTCAATGTCTTCTCTTTCAATGTCTTTAACCACCATGATCTTCATTTTGTTCAGAAAATGTAGAGCTAGGTCACTAAGAGCATCCCTGAAAACAAGGGGGAAGAGTCAGCACACAGCATTCTTGCAGGTTTGAGTTATACTGGCCAGCGTCTTACCAGCAGCGCTCAAATTCTTCAGACTACGAAGCAGGGATATTATTAAATTCAGAACACGGAGAACGTCAGTGCATTCTAGAAGCACAGTGACTCTTTTGCAGCCAGTGTGACACACTGGGCCCAGTGTCAGCGTTAATACTTGGCTTCAGTTTTCCAGGTATTCAAATCAATTCCATTTGTTCTCCAAACACAAACACAACAGGTTAGCAAATCAGTAGTTAGCATACCGTAGAATAGACTTCTGAATCAGCAGCACATTGCATCCAGCCTTCTTAATTTGCTTAACTAAGTTTAGAATATAGGCTCTCTCTTCACGCAACACTCTGTCCATTTGAGCATAATCAGAAACAACAATTTGGTTGTCCATCTGTTAAAAAGAAAAAAAAACCAAACAAGTATTGTGAGGAAGGGCTGACTTGAAAAGCAAGAGTCAAGATGTTCTACATTCTAAAACCTCAGGAGCCTGTGATTCAAGGCAAACAAACGTGAACGCATTAGAGTGAAAAGATCACTTGTTAGAGGTTTGTTTAGATAATGAGAAATACCAGACTTTTGAACTATTTTCTTTCTAATACCCGCTATGAGTTGTTTATGTTTAAGGATGATGAGTACCTAACCATTTCCTAGCACATTAAGCTAGCAGACCTTTATTACAGCTCTGCAATAGAGCTGACATCGCAACATCGTAAGAAAATGTATTTTCATTCCATCTACATCCCTCAAGTGCTACAGCAAAAGCTTTCACCGTAGTGATATTTTAACTTACATCTGTCTTTGGAGCAGACAAGCAAAACTGAATTAGGCCAATTTTGGCTTTTTCCACTCTAGTTACACCAGTATTTGCCACCTTCTGAGTCAGGACTAATCCTTCAACCAGTTCACAGTCATCAATTGTTCCTCTGGAAACAAGAGAATTTCATTAATCAAGTATTTTAGGAAGCCAATTTCCAAGTCAAAAATCCTCTAGTTACAAACTGTTTCTTACCCCAGCTTCTTAACAATTTTAATATCTCTCAGGTCCACACTACTAGCCGTAGATGGATCAATCACCTTCATCACTGCGTCCACACTCATTGGAGAAAGTAAACTGGAATACTGGCACACAACCTAAGGGATTTAATAAGGAAAAGAATCAATGGGGTGAGACATATACTACAGCGATAAGGGCTGGCTCGCTCGTAATTCTGAAGTGGTATTGTCATTGCATTTTACACATCTTCATTTGACTTTTAATTTTAAAAACAAAGTTTGTTTTCCCTCCCCGTCAGCCAGTGAGATGTCCTACTACAGTTTCTTTAAGCAGCATGCCGTTTAAAAGAACGAACAGCTATTTTGGTGGGGAAAACCTACGCGTAGGGAATTATTTGAAGAAACGTGAATTTCTCCCTTCTTAAACGCTTAAAATAAGCCTTTAGAGAGCTTCCCGGATTATCTGTTGGAAGGAGACTAACACACTTCTTCAGAAGTGATTCTACAATGCAAAGGAATGTTACAGGGAAGAGAAGAAATTTCATTATTCCCGTTTTGCCATCACTGGACCTCGAGGAAAAACAAGGAGCTTTGAAATCCAGCTGTTCCAGGAATAAAGCTCTTGCAGGCAACTCAACTCCCGGTTTTGATTCTGTTTTAGAGGTTTCTGGCACATCAACAAGAATTGCCTGCATGAGAAGTTATCAAATGCTCTCAGTAAACTGATGGATTCTTCTGTTCCTGTTCTCAGTTTCAGCTTGCCTATTTGTTTTATGCTTACAGTTAACATGTAAGATCACTAAAAATCTTGACTGAAATTCAGTTTGCATGCTTCAAATTAATCTCAACCAACCATAGCTTTTGAGAGAAGTCAGTCTAGCAGAAAGGTCTCAAAAACAACTAGGTTTGTGACAATTCTAAACACGTAGACAGCAGCATTAGCTGGGAAAAACTGAAAGGCTCAGGTAGTCTGAAGGCATGAAGTTCAAGTATCAGTCCCACCTTTGAATTCAGTGAAGTAGTTGCACTGTTTAATAAGGTTTCTCTGTCACTCAATTCAACTGGTTGTGCCATGTTGGTCAATACTTCAATACCTTTTTCCAAAGCTTTCTGGAATGACTCTGAAATGATGGTGGGGTGAATTCCTGTGAATTGTATAATACATAGTTAGAAGGTCCTGCTTTCAAGCCAACGGCCCTTCCCCCCAACCCCGCTCTCTTTTCTTTCCATTTTAAGATTAATTTAGAGACCGATGTCAGAATAAGTGAATGCCTTTTTAGCAAAAGGCATTCTTCACAAGCAGGTGACTTCCCCTTATTCCTTTCTGCTGTTAAAACTGACAGTTTGTCCTCACAGACAGTACACTACATTACCCTGCAGTGTCAGACATTCCAGACAAATGCTTTCTCAAAGTTTTCTTTTTCCCTGACGTTCGTAAAGCTGCAGCTATTCAGGTAATACCTGTGAGGAGCATGACAGTGATTCTATTCCAGATTTCTGAAGAGTGGTTTCTAACTGCTGCTTACAGAGGTTCACTCATTTCTCTACAGCGCTTGATACCCTTTATCTTTTCGGAACAGGCAGCCTATTGGAAACCATTAAACAGGCATCTTCTAACTACCTCTCAGGGATACCAGGCTGCTGGTCCTAACCACGGTAGCTGCTTCTGGTAACGTTGTTGGATAAGACCGTTCCTGGCTGTCAGGAACATGTAAAAAGAATGCACAGGTACTACCAGTACTGAGAGAGGAAATAACCACAGGCAAACAATTGGTATGAGCTGGAAAGGGGACAACAAGCAAAATGGCGTATACCAAAATGAGACTATGGAAGTAAACAGCTATACAGTCCAGATCTGAGACACAGAAGGATTGTGTAGGTCTATTCATCCTTGCTCTACTTCCAGCGTGCACAGAATCCTAATGATACCAAATCAGATGGCTTCTGGATGGAAGCAGAATGTAAGAGAAAACTGAGGAAAGAAGGTATCAATAATGCTTTACAGAATCAAGTCAGTACTGGGCCCCCCAAAAAGGAATAATGGACAGGGTTTTAATACAAACACATCCCCCCTAAGCGGTTAAGAAGTGTCAAATAATACACTGGAGATATTCAAAACCCGTCTGGATGTGATCCTGGGCAATATGCTTGAGCAGGGAGGTTGGACTAGATGACCTCCAGAGGTCCCTTCCGACCTCAACCATTCTGTGATTCTGTGAAACAAGTCAACATTTTGCTTTGTAAGTGTAAGTTGGGTTACTGTTTAATGGCTTTACAGATATACGGCATTTAGATATGCAGGACCTGTGTGCTTCCTTCTGCATCGTTTCTTGACCAGAAAGCCTATCCTCTAAACTTCTGATAGGACAATTTCTACTTCACAAAAAGTACTAGGGGTTTTCACGATAGAGGTAAGTGCTTCTAATCAAGCCAATTCATAGTGCAACAACTGTAACCACTACTTCTAATTCCCATATGTACGACAGGTTGTTTCTGGCGATTCCTGAGCTAATAGAGCACAGCCTACAGTAACGTTTGCTGTCCACAAGTTCACGTCTTTTCCTGACTGGACTTTCTCAAGGACCCTACTCTGTGAGTGACAGGAAGTGACAAACCTGCTGAAAGTAGACTAACTGTACTCACCAGCTCCCAGTTTCATTTACACCTTTTTGAGCTACGTCTCGGTTCATGAGAGAAATACAAGTATAATCTAGGTGTTTTTTTACAAGGCAACATTCGCCATATCACCTAGACGCTATTTCCTGTATCAAAAGTAAAGTGGTCACTACTCAAAATATAAAAAATGTCACTGTTTAACTAACCGGGACACTGGTGAAATCTGAATATGAAGACCTGAGTTACTTTCCGTGTTCAGACTGGAAACATTTAATTTAAGCTTCATTAAACACGTGCAACGAAATATAGGATATAAATAAAAACATGACTAGAGATAGTTAAGAAAAACATACACCGACCTTTCTGAAGAAGTCTGGAACAGGCATCCAAAAGAGCTCCAGCAATGACAACAACAGATGTAGTGCCATCACCAGCTTCAATATCTTGTGCTTTTGACAGCTCTACCAACTACGCAACAAATTATAACAAAAGGTTATAGTGACAATTACAGAGAAAAACATTCAAGAATGCAGTGCGACTGAGACCAACCTTACTATCAGGACCAATCCTGCCTTTCCTAATTTGAAATTTGTACCTTTTGCAACTCACTTATCACACTTTTCACACGTTTGGCAGAAGTACAACTGATGTAAATCAAACCACCTACAGAAGTCAATAAGTGTCTCCGCCAAGCTTTGAGCTGATCACACCTACTGAACAGGTCCAGCTTTTCCTTTAGCAGAATCACAGGTATCTCATTTCCCTCTCCAACCACAATTCACATCTAGGAGGCCTACATTTAAGCTCTCAAAAGGCCAGGCTGCTGTTTCTTGCACACGCATTCACTCTAGCGCACGTGGTCAGACACAAACTGGCTACAAAGCTGGTCTGTTATGAAAGACTTTTCCCCCTTACCCCCCAAACTCAGATCAAATTAATATCCTTATTAATTATCCTGACTATTGAGCACGGCTGGGGTGGTGGGGGCTGGGACAGGGAAGAGAACGTGACACGAAGGACATTCTATTCTATTCTGTTCTAGGGCATCCTAGGACCGCCTGACCATAACGTCATTCACTCTCTTTAAGTCTTCTGCATTCTGCTGGTTTAGGCCATCACTGACTTCTCTTTCTTAGCCGAGAGAAGGTTATCAGGCTAGATTCTTTTATGTCTTAAAACATATCCAGAAGGGATTACGCACATGCACACAGGATAAGAAATAGAGTCTTGGAACTCTGAGCAGACCTTATAATCAGGGTAAACAGTCTTGAAACATGCTAAGCAAAGCCTGTTGCTCAAATTCACATGAAACGTTCGAATATTTTCTGTCCTGGAAACGAAGCTCTAACATGTAACCTTGTCCAAGCTATGGAAAAATATTTACCATCTTGGCTGCAGGGTGCAAAACCTGCATTTGTTTCAGAATAGTAGCACCATCATTAGTGATTGTCACATCTCCTTTAGCATCCTGAATCTAGGAAGGAGGAAGAAAAACACAGTTCTGATTAGTAATTACAAATCTGGAAGCTGAGTTGATGCGCTAAACGCAAGGGATTTTCCTGTCGACATTACTTCTGAAACAGATGTGCATACAATTTACATTTTAGAAGTTCCTTTATGTAAGGGAGATTGGGTCACAAAAATCAAAGTATTCTATTTTTCATGCTTGAGAAAGAAAATTCAAAGCAAGAAAAGTTGTCTTACGCCAAATATGTTCACATTACAGTGTGTCCAGTAAGTTTAACGTTTTCAAAATTTCAGCATAAGGCTTACCATTTTATCCATTCCCTTTGGTCCAAGACTTGTTCTAATTGCATCAGCGACAGCTAGAAGAGAAGAAATACATTTGCAAGTTGATCTAAAAAACTACAAGCACTCCATCACTCTAAATATTTCTTCCATAGAGAAGTCGTCCCCCAGTATTAAACGGCTCGCACAGCAAAATTATACGAGACGTTGTAGCTTCAGGATACAGATTTCCATAGCTGGAATTTTACATCCATTAGCATCCAATCACTTCATTAGACCCATTTTAAAACTAAAGGGAAATGCTTTGTGCCAAGTAACACGACCAGGGTTTGTATCAAATGCCAAATTTAGCTTCCCTCAACAGGCACTTGTCCTACCACCATAAGCCTGTTACCATTAAAAAAATAACCACAAGAACATCTCCCACTGATAGACAACGGAGCACGTAACATCCAGGGAGACAACGGCTGGCTGCCAGCACCCGCACTGAGAGAAGCGACCACGGCAAACCTACGCCTTTTCAACGCTGAAAACAACGGAAAGGCGTTGCCCTCCGCACGCTGCCTCCCTCCTTTCCCCCCACCCCAGCCACAAGGCGGCACAGCAAGGAACGAGTCTCCCCGCGCACGAACGACCGGCGAGGCAGCGAGCCCGCCCCGCCCTCCCCCCCGCAAGGCAGGGGCGAACAACGCCAAGGCGGCT